AAATCTACTCTATTAAAACAGAAAATATTTTTTTTATATTTCCTTAATTTTTGCTAAACATTACACTTGCGTCATTCTTATATTTATGACTAAAAAAATATTTTTTTTTTCAAATTAGTTATAAAAAATTCATGAAGTGACACTGAATTTTTTTTACATTTTCAAAATTAATTTCAAACATTTTGGTTTTGCATTTTATATGTTGACATTAATTTAGACAATATAACTTCATGTTTTATATGTTATCTATGCAAACGATTTTATTGATGCCAAACTTAAAAACCATATGGTTTGCATATTATACTTTAGACTATTTATATTATATATACTGCTAAGCACAGTGAGTAACCCACATTGATATATATGCTATTTAACTATTACATTCAAAACCTTAATATATACAAACATAACAACAGAATAGTCTTTCGTTGTATAAAAAAAATACAAACATAACAGAATCAATACTATTAAAATTAAAACAAGATCTATCTACTTACAAATATTCTATGTTGAACCATTACATTTAACTATCTTTCTTATTACTTTACTTATATCTAACTTAATTATTTATTAAATATATATCTTAGCCTCAAATTAAACTATTAAATAACTAATATATTATATTTTAAAAACAATAAATTCAATTTATATTAACACTAATTTTAATTAAGTAATCAATTATATTTTTTATTCATATGAAAATTATATCTGCCTACTAATATGTTTATATAATTTTTTTCTTTAATTCAAATGCAAGAATCAAATTATTCAAAACCCTCATCAAATACATAATAATATAACTTTTCTAGATAGAGTATTAAAATTAGACACACACATATATATATATATATATATGTATTATAAAAATATGAATAATTAGATATTACTAATGTTAAATGATATGATGAAGCATGTCATTATTGATATTTTATTAGTATAATCTTACGGGTTATTCAAAAAAATGTAAAATATTTATTAAATATAAAAATAATTGAAAAAAATATAAAACACACTTTAAGTTAGGTTTGGCTTTAAAATATCCGTTGAGATACGGGTTGGGAATATGGAATTTTGATTCTAAATTATACCACATCGTATGTCTTTTCTGCTAAATTTGTAAATATGGATCGGGTTCGGAAATAAGAAATCAATTTTGGCTCTTTGTATCACGTTTGAAAACCTATAAAATAATCATATATCATTCGGATTCAGGTTATATTGGTCGGTTTGGTTCAGATATATCTAAAATTTAAAAGAGAAACAAATACTTATCGACTGGATATTTAATATACTTATTTAAAATTTAATACATATAATTAGATATTATTAAAAATAAATATCAAATTGAATATCTGAAAGAAATATTTATGTTTCAAAATTTTATATATATGATTAGTGTGAACATTTATATCAGTTTTTTAATTTTTAATTTTTTTGTTTTCAGATTATTCGTTCGGATTCGGCTAATAACACTTATGTTTACAGATTCCATGGTCTGACCTATTTAAATAAAGAGAAATTATGAATATATTTCACCGAAAAATTATTTCACGTTTTCTAAGCGCGGATCAAGTCTAATCTATTAAGACTGAAGTACAATTTAGAATTAACCCATATCTTTTAATATTTACTAACTTGTGCCACTGTCCAATAATAGGTCATTTAATTCCATAACTAAATAAGTTTAATTAAATTTACATACTAGACCAAATTGTCTTCAGAATAAAATCCAACAATACACGATTCAGTTAACTACTATTATACACCAATTGTGTAAAATATAACACATAAAGTCAAGCAAATATATATAATGATTATTCGATGGTGTGCTATTTTTTTGGGTCTAATTCTCATATAACTATTGTTCTCATGTAAACCAATAAATCATTTACATGTTTTGGTTCCTTTTTGTAATTACCATTGTGTGTGTTTACCATTTTTCAAAAAAATTACAAGCCATATTTGATGAACACTCATATAATTTGTTTAAAGGGTTAAAATGCAAAATATATTTAAAATATTTAATTTGGTTAGTTATTATCAAAATATATTCTTGCCCAAAAAATCAAAAATAATAATTTCGCATTCTCCTAAAATCAACAAAATTCCAAAAAAACCTTTTCTATTTTACTTTTCTGCTACTACCTTAATAATAGCTATCTGTTTTTTAAAAAAAAAACCTAAAATATGGGAGACCAATTTAAATTCCTAACATATTCCTAAAGTTTAGATGATTAGCTAAGGAAAGAAATGAATAAAATAATTTGCATATATATTAGGCGTGATTCACTCATATAGTATCTTCTTTTTTATAAAATTTTAGGAAAAGTTTAATTAATAAATTTTAAGTAATGCAATATAATATGAAAGAAATTTTAATATATATTCAATTTGACATGTTATATTAATACCTAGATCAAAATATTTTTGTAAACTACTTAACACGATACAGTATCGTAATACTTGGTCTCAAAAATAAACTAAAATAGTGCAACTGCAACCATTAAATTATTATGTTTTAAAATGTTATATATCTAGCGTAAAATAAACACCCATACAGGTATTCGAGTCAAATTCTAGTATGATAACTAAAACATAAAAGAGTAAAAAATAGGAAACTTAACCATTCTTTCTAAAATTTTCTTCAAATCTTCTAAAGCATTTATGGGCGTCTGCACAATGTTCAAGGACCTTAGGCTGAAGTGATTATGATAACCATACGCTTTTAAGCGTATGTGACTGATAACGGCCTCTACCATCTCTGTGTCTTCAATATTGCTCTTCAGTTTCTCAAACTTGAAGATGAAATCCATCATTGTGGCTTGATCTACTGAATTAAATTCCATCATAGCACTGACGCTATTTGATGCTCTGTTATCATCGTGCCGATGAACCCCAGCTTCATTGTTGGTGTGTACTCATTGAACAAGGAACTCCAACATATTAGATTACATTATTTTTCACTAATTCAACTGTATTAATAATTATTAAAGATAATTTTCTAAACTTAATTGTATAGCAATATTTGTTTCCCACCAAAAACAAAATAGCAATATTTGTTAGTAGTATCACCAACATTTTAATCATAATCAATCATAATTATTAAAATCAATTGTCAATACAAAATCTAACATTTTAAAAATAATACTTTACTTAAATTTTATATAATTTTACTTATATTTTTATTAATTTTATTTATATTTTACATTATTTTACTAAAATTTGTATGTAAACATAATTTTTATTTATTTGATAACAATAATAATATTCGTAAAACATTAGTGTTTTTTATATCATTTTTATTAATAAATATATTACAGGGATTGAGAAACAACTAAACAAATTAAAAAAGTATTAGTTTCACTGGTAACAAAAAGTATTAAATTTTGTTCACTAACTAATAATTTGCAATAAGTAATATTTATCTAAAATTCAACATATTTATAAATACTTATAATTTTTTTTAAAAATATGTCTCATTAATTTGGATGTCCTAATTGGTGGCTTGGATGGTTTCCCCCCGACCGGCCCAACCATTTTCTCTATGTGTGTATGCGTTTTGTCTAATCTTCTGATGTTGAATGTGTTTATATAGGGCTTTAGGAATGGAAGAGAGAATGTATGTAGCTTAATGCTTTTGTGATGGGGATAACTTATTGCATTTATTACATCAAGCATAGATATGGAAACCCTCCAGTCTTTATCACTGAAAATGGTAAACACAAACATCCTTAAACCCTCTAAATCCACAAGAAATAGCCAGTTTTCCATGATGATTGTGTGCATGTGGGTGTAGGTGTGGACGATGCAAACAGCATTTTTATCCCTGAGGAAAAGAAGCTCTGCTAGATGCAAAGAGAATCAGATACCACCATGATATTATCTTTCGAGCTTACAAGCTGCAATTAAAGAAGATGAATGCAATGTGAAAGGGTACTTCGTGTGGTCATTATTAGATAATTGGGAATGGGCAGTTAGCTATAGCCCAAGATTTGGTCTCTACTTCGTTGATTATAGAGACAAGCTTAAGAGATACCCTAAGGACTGTTCATTGGTTTACTTCATTCTTGAACTCCACTTCTTGATATTCCTAATTGGTTTCACTTAATTTATACAATATTTGTGGATTTGGATTTAGAAAGATATATTAAGCACAACAAATCAATGGAAGTTAGTTGTCATTGAGACAGTTTCAAACTATTTTGAAATCTGACCGTATATATATATATATCTTATGATAAAAACCCCTGAAAATAAGAAGTATCTAAAATGCTTTAAAACAAAAGTAACGGGCTCAACACAGTTCACATGTATTTATCTACTCTGTGTGAAAAACTGAATGCACCATAAATACGAAGACAATGTATCTACTATATTGGTAAGCTGCTTAATTCATGGCTCAAGGACATGCCTTCTGTTTCTTTGGCATGAAGGTGTTAACTTTGAGAAACTATGTATTTCTTATATAATATAGTACTGAATTGTAATATCTTGTTGTAACGTCTCAAGCTGAGCAAGGATACAAAATAACATTTCTCTAAATTGGTATGGCTAGCATGATAAGAATTATGGTAGAAATTGCAATTTGGGTTCAATTGTAAGAGATGAGTAAATAAGGAATAAAGTGTAAAATTTAGAAAGTAGTAAGGACTAGCTAGAAAAGTGTGCTGGTCTTAAATTATAAGACCATCTCCTGGTTCTATCCCATTGGAGTTCTAAAACCAAATATGTGTGTATGTATGTATTATATATATGTATGTAATTGTAGGGAACCCTATCCAAAAGTTCTAAAAAATAGATTCTACATTATTTAATGGACCCTATAATTACATACATATATATAATACATACATACACATATATGGTTTTAGAACTCCAATGGGATAGAACCCCCGTTGGAGATGGTCTAAGGCCCAGCTAACATTAAGGATTTTTTACGGGTCAACCCGAATAATAGTACGAACCGTATCCACCTCTTATCTTCTTTCGTGTTCTTCCCCAAATTTTCCAACGTAATCCATATTTGTTTTTCGTTTTAGCTGGAATTATTTCCAATTGATCTGTAAATTCATCTAATTCACGTTTCCCTCTTTCGATTGATACCAATTATTATATATTTCGTTTCTTAAAGATATATCTAGGGTTAGGGTTGTCGATCTCCTCACACGTCGTATAATTTCTCGATCCATCGTTTTATTTTCCTATTGAATCGATTTTCATCAACACCCCCTTTTAAATTGTGATGTTAATTTCACATTTTTCGTCCTCGATTGATATCTAGGGTTCTTATTTTTTCGATCTATCACTGGGCTTGCCAGATCTGTAAATTATCAAAGGGATTTCTCTTGATTCGTTTCTATTTGGTCAATTCTTCTCTATTCCACTCTTGATTTGGCTGGTTTTTGGGTAGGCCGGAATCTAGGGTTAGGGCTTTCTTGTGATTTGGGGATTTTTAATTTTTTTTTCCTAGCTTAAGCTTCTGAGCTTAAGATTATTACTTTGGTTCTTCTGCTGAACGTTCTAGTTTAGTGAAGTTGGCTTGAATTATTATCTGAGCTTCCCTTTACAGAGGTAAATAATAACACTACTTCTGTCAGTACTGTTAATGGAACTTATAGGTATCTTACATATGGTTTGTTATAAGGTCTCTTGCATGCATTTGTTTACCAACTGTTTGGACATTCTTATCGTTTATTTCTAAGGATTGGAGTTGTTCTCTTATGTTTTATGTTTCTTATCATCCACTATGTAGGTTGGAAATGGGATTCAAACGCCCTTTGGATGACAACAAGTTTCATGAGCTCCCGATTAAACATTCTAGACATTTTGGCTTTAACGACAAGTCGATGCAGTTTGAAGAGTTTATTCCACGTCACGCTGTTTCTCAGAGTCCTCTTGCCACGGGTAGCTATAGCTTGTGAAATTTTTATGCTGTTTGTTACTTGACCAAATTCTTCTATGTGATTAAATCTTTTTCTTTTGAATGGGTTTATCGTCAATAGTTGATGAGGGAGATCTTTTGAAACCCCAAGGACGTGAAACCTTTGGTGAAGAGTCCAGTTTTGTTTACCCGGGTCTTGACATGGATGGTTATTTTGATCGGGTCATGGAAGATTGCCACGGAGAAGATGCAACTCACTCTCCTCATTCTGCAGAGTATTTTGAGACTTTCTATTCTTACCTCTTGGATCAACCTGCTAGAAAGCAAGTGCCCATTGGACCAGATCATCAAGCCATGATTCCTGAATGGGAAGGTGGTCTGAATGCGAACCTAGAACCTTTAGGCACTGGTGTTATTCCCATGCCGGCACATATGAATGACATAGTAGGGAAAGGTAGAGAGTTCTGTGTCTGCCAGGACATGGATTCTATAAGGTGTGTACGCCAACACGTCAAAGAAGCTAGAGAAGAAATGGTTAAGGTGCTTGGATTTGAGAAATTCAGAGACCTAGGGTTCTGTAATATGGGAGAAGAAGTTGCACAGAGCTGGAGCGATGAAGATGAGCTACTTTTTCATGAGGTTGTTTATTCCAACCCCGTGACGTTAGGTAGGAACTTTTGGAAGCATTTGGAAGCTGCGTTTTATTCCCGAACCAAGCACGAGATTGTTAGCTACTACTTTAACGTTTTTGTCCTGAGACGAAGAACCACACAGAATAGGTCTATGATATTGGATATTGATAGTGACGATGATGAATGGCATGGAGGTTATGGAGGTGGATCTTTGGGTACTCAATATGTCGAAGAAGAAGACTCTGCTGTCGATTCTCCTCTTCATCAAGAGACAGAAAAAAATAATGAGATAGTGCATCCACTCCATCAGGGAGAAGGTGAAGAAGATACCAGTGTTAGTGACAATGATGAAGATGATACTGGACTGTGTGACGAGGACAAGATGAATGCTGAATATATGGATATGTTTTATCTGGGTGCAATGACGAGGGATTGAACGTGGAAGATGACTCATGCACACGACCTTTGAGCTTGTACATGAGGCGGTGAACTCTGGGTGGAAGAAGTTTGCAAATAAAGATGAGAGTCTTGGAGATCAACACAATTAAGTGGAAGGAGTGTGGGATCAAAAAGTTAAACAAATGGCTATTCATCATTTCGCAACAAGTTGCAGAAGGCTAGGAGACACTTTTGGTGTTAAAGGGGTCGTCCTCCAAATGTCCCTATTAAAAAGTGGAGACTAGAGAGAGAGAGAGAGAGAGTGGGTGTGACTTTTTTTTTGAAAAGAATATGAATGTCTCATGTGCAACCCTTGTGAATGAGCTGTTACTTCGCTTTTCTTGGGGCCCTTTTTCTCAAAATGTATCTAGAAAATGTCAGAATCTCTCTGACTTGCAGTTAGGATTGTATTTTCTTTGGTAAGATTAAGGAATAAAAAAAAATATGAGAGAAATAAATGGGTGTTTTCTTGCATTGGTGAAAACTGAAAAGATGAAGAAGTCTTTTCTTTACAAACAAACTTGCCAATGCCAAAGTTTGTTGCTTTACAATCGGAGAATAGGTGGCTGAGGTGACGAGCCAATTATGGACCAACGATTAAGTGCTTTGTTGTTTGTTTGAACATCAGAAGTCTCTGTTTGGGCCCATGGTTTGTTAATATACACTACCAGAATTGAATTTATACTGTTTATATTTAATTAAAAGGAAACAAATCTCTCATTAAACTTTCTGCCATTGTGTAATTTCAAGATTTGAAGTTGAGGAATGGGATTGTAAAGAGATCTGAACTATCTGTGTGTTAGAGGAATGAGATTGTGTGCTCTCCTTAGCTACTAACTAGTAGAGAATAACTGTCACATCCCAAACTCTCTGATTCCTAAGAAAGCATCAACCTTTGCCACTTATCTCTCTCTCTCTCTCGTCGCTTAACTAAGAAAGCATCAACCTTTGTCGGTTTGTGCAGCATTTTCTAAGGTAAAACTCATCAAGCTTCTCTCTTTCACACTAATCTTCTTTCACTTATGCTTTCGTTATCTAAAGAAAACGTCTTTTTTTTAATTGATTCAGCTTTGTGTAAGAGAAGATGGAGACGATGATAGAGAAGGAGTTTGTGTGCAAGTTCTGTAACAAGAAGTTCCCTTCTGGCAAATCACTCGGTGGTCACATCAGGATTCATACCAACGAGTACTCACTTCATTCAACTAGTTACAACGGCAAGAATCGTAAGAAGAAGAGTATGGTGGAGGATCAGAGAGAGATCACGGCTCCGAAACAGCAGCAACTTTGTTGCAGAGAATGTGGTAAAGGTTTTGATTCTTTAAAAGATCTTTGGTATCAGATGGATTGTTGTCACTGTGAGAGAGAGAAGGTTGTTATGGATACTGAGACTACTTCCTCAGGAGGTTATAGCATGAAAAGATCCAAGAAGCAGTCCAGTTCAGAATCTTTTAGTAATGGGAGCTCGTCTTCTTCTTTTGTTTGTGAGATTGACCAAGAACATAAGAACACTGCTTTGTCTCTCATGATGTTGTCTATGGATTCTAGAGGACTTACCTTTGTGGTGAACTCTCTGGTGGTGGCTGAGTTAGCAGAGAACAACTCTGATGATGTTGATAATGAGGCTATTCAATCTGATTCGTGTAGCTCTGACTCTGATTACTTCATGAATGGCCCAAAGAAGTCAGACTCAGATACATCGGTTGATGAGTTTATTAGCAAAACTGGACTCAACAGATACAGGAATGGTGATGAGCTGTGCAAAAGCAAAAGGGTCTTGCCTTGTTATCAAAGTGATTCTTGTGCAGATATAAACAGCAAATCCTTGGTGGTTAAGAAGAGCAAAGGTCACAAGTGCCCAATCTGTTTCAGAGTGTTCAAATCAGGACAGGCTTTGGGAGGTCACAAGAGATCACATTCTTTTGAGAAATAGGAACACAGGATCAAACACAAAGCAGCTTATATGCTCAATCTCACTGGTCAGGATATTAAAGAGTGAATCAGAACTTGAAACCACAGCTCATCCCCTTGGCTTTGTTCCCTTCTAGTGTTTGCTCTAGATTTTCATGGTAAATCAAATGTTTGTTCATATAAAGCCTTATCACTTAGCCAATTCTTTGCTTTATGACTCTGGGTGTTGATATAAAGCTTTCATGTTTCCTACTAAGATTCTTCTTGTCTTCAACATTTTAAGGCCTTACTCTGCATCTCGTACGTTAGTGTTACTAATATATTATTCATATCAACCCAAAGAAAGTCAAGACTAGAGCCATATCTCTTGCTTTTCTGTAAAACATGATGATGTTTAGACTGTTACCAAGAAGAGAGTTGTGCTCAACTTAAGATGTTAATTCAACTGAAAAGAGGAAACAGCAAAAAAAATAATCAAAAGAAACTCAAAATATTTTGGAATTTTTACTATTTCTAAACTCAAAATATTTTGTAGCCAGACAATCAGACACCCTCTTTATTTGATGGAACATGCTTATTGGGCTTTTAAACAGTGTTGTTGGAATCCTCATTAGCCCATGGAGTCCAATAAAGACCAGATAGATAGCTTGAGACCCACGAAACAGCTCAACACACGTTCTTGTTTTCTTGTATCGGTTGTTGTAATTTTGGATACACGTAGTTACGTACTACACTTTCATGTAAAATACTTAAAACGATCTTTTGTTACTGTAATCTAGTAAAGAGTAATATGAAGTGAAACAAATTGATATTAATGTCTATGAAAACGAACTAAAAGGACCCACAAAAACGAATTAATGTTGATTCATGTGCATCTTCCGCGTTGCATTAAAACCCCAATTTTCCTTTTAACTTCTCTCATTTCTCACAAAGTTTAAACACTCTTTCCTTCTTCAACAAAAGCTTGTCAATCTCTCTCTCACCAAATCAAGCAATGTCGACGACGACACACCTCAACCGTTCGATCTTGCTCTCGCTCCTCCTCCTCTTCCTTCTCACAACTTCCATGGTTTCTTCTCGAACCGTTGGATCAAACCGGACGATGACATCAAGAAACATCCGTAACCGAACTCACCGATTCGTCCCGAAGGTTCACCACCTCCCGTACTACGTGAATCCTCACGGTTCGTGCCACACATTCTCTCGTCCTTACGCACGTTCAATGTGCCTTGAGCTTCAAAGAATCCACCGTAACAACCGGAAGAAGCCACTTGTTTCCCCTCCTCCGCCGGAGATTGATCCAAGGTACGGCTTCGAGAAAAGACTCGTCCCTTCCGGTCCAAACCCTCTTCACAACTAAAAACTCTTGACGTTGTATACATAATATACAAAGATCGTAGTCATGTTTACATTTTATAATTGACATATTTCTTATTTCTTCGAGTACATGCTTATATTCATAGAGTTAATTTGCGCGAAGACGCAGATTCATCATTTCTTTGGGAATCTTTATCTTGAATCTTGATTCTACTCTTTTTGATCTCGTAATATCCCTACGTTTGTTGGGAGATGTTATTGATTTTTCCACGTTTGCGTTTAGACTTGTAGGTGTGTAAACAATCATGGAAATATTGAACTTTTTTAAGAAAATAAAGAACAACAGAAAAGATTTTAGATATACGGTAGGAGAGGAGTAGAAACGCATGAGCTACATTAATTTGGGAGTTGTATATTACATCAAAATTTATATTTTGGCATATGAATAAATCTATATTTTGAAAACTCATGGGCCCATATATATAATCCATATGTATGCTCTCCTCTCGTGTGATGAATGTGTGTATGTGTAAGAGTTTTATATTGATGGAAAACACAATACATTTTAGATTCACTTTCCTTTCTAGAAAAAAATATTCGTATGAGTAAAATTGTGCAGACCTTATACATCAAGTTAAAAAGTTATAAACAAAAAAAAAAAGTGGAAATATAAGGTATATATTGAATAAAATTTCAAAACTAGAAGAGTATTTAGTATAAGGTCCATTAAGACAAACACTATATCTTAACGCTAATCCGCTTGTTGCAGCCAAAAAAGGTTAAAACTGAAAATAAAGTGAACCAGAAAAGGCAGCAAAAAAAAGTTGTTGGGTGCGATCATGATTGTGGTCAATTCTTGTGACTCGTTGGTGTAGAGTTTGGTTGGTTCCATATATGAATAAAACTGATTTTTAGTGTGATAAAAAAGTGAATGACACTGGCACAAATTTTGAAAAATGATGAACATAGCTGAGACATAGAAAGTATTAGGACTTTGGTCATAACATGAATTTTATTGGCAAAAATATGGAAAAACAAATGAACTTATTGGTAAAGACAAGAAGGAAAATAAGAAAAGTTTTGGGTTTGAAAGACTAACCAAAAAAAGAAAGGAATTGTGACAGACACTAGTACCCTTTCTGAAAAAATGTGAATCGTATTTAGAAAAGTAAAAATAGCTTAAAATACAGAATATATATATATATATATATAGTTCCAAAAATACCACATATTTTATGTTTTAAAAAGTGCATTGATCATTATAACATTTTTTTAATAACAAGATCAAGTTTTATAGATTTGCATTCACTCATTTCAAATGCATTTTGGGAATTCGGTCAAAAAAATCACGAACTTTACACGAATTGCCAAATAAAACATAAACTCGAAGCTGACCAAAAAAATACTGTACTTTCTTTGACTTTTAAATTTTATTTGAGAACTTATCATTGACTTGCCATTTTAACACACCGTGATCTAACAGTGTAGACGCCGTTATTTTGACGTTAAAAATCGACGTTAAGTGAGACGACGTTGTTTTGTGTGTTTTTAAAACGAAAAATAAACGAAAAATATGTCTATCTCAGGACTCGAACTTGAGATCTCAAAGCCAAACAACATGGTCTTTTGCCACCGAGCTAACGACACTTCTGATGAATCTCTAACATATTTCTTTTTATTGAGTATCCAAAAAATCTTTAAAAACCTTAAAATTTTACAAAATTCAAAAAATCAATAAAAATATTAAAATAAAAAATTAAATTACAATTTTTTTTAATTTTCGCTAAAATTAATTAAAAAAATCATAAAAATCAAAAAAATCCAAAAATACGAAAAGACTAATGATTAAAAAATGACAAAAAACTAATGATTAAAATAATTTAAAAAATATTTTTTTTTTTATAAAAGTTAATGTATCTAAGATCATTTATGTATTTGATCTTACATACATTAATCATACGAAAATATAGTGTGATAAATATAATTTTGTATATTATCTTGCATGCATTCATTTACATAAGAGAAAATTATTTTAATCATTAATTTTAATTTTTTAGATTTTGTATTTTTTAATTTGTTGGACGTTTTTGGTTTTTTATAAATTAATATATTTGAGATAAAACACAAAAATGATATTTATCACACTATATGTTTTAGTAAAATTTTTGTTTACTAAAAAAAATAAAAAAATGTTTTTAAGATATGATAACAAAGGAACATACACCAAAAACTACAATTTTTTTATTTAATTATTATCTAGTAATGTATAGAAATCTTTATTTTTGTTGTATGTTCATTCAATATCATATTTTAGCAAAACACTTTGTGATAATATCATTTGTTTATTTGATCTTAATTATCATTTCTATTTTATTTTAAATACATTATTCATACTAAAATATATAGTGTGATAAATATCATTTTTTATTTTAATTTACCATACATTAATAGATATAAAAATAGGTTTCAAGTTTTTTAATCATTAAATCTAATTCGTTGCATATCTTTAAATTATTTTAGATTTTTGCAAATTTTTAATGTTTTGATTTTTTAAACAAAAAAATTATTTGCTATTTCAATTTTAATTTTACCTTTTCAGAATTTTCTTGAATTTTTAAGATTTTTTTGGAAGTTTTAAAAAGGAATTTAGATTTTTCGAGATTTTTTTGATACTTAATAAAACAATACATGTTAGTGATTTTATTAAAAGTGTCAGTAGCACAGTGGCAAGAAACCTCAAAATTTGGCCAAGAGTTCGTGGGTTCGACTCACGCAACTGACATGTTTTTATAATAAAAATAGACAAAACGACGTCGTTTTATCTCATCTCAAAACGACGTCGTTTTACCTAACGGATCTTAACAAACGGTGTTCAATCATTCTGTCAAATTTACTAACGGCGTGTTTAATTGGCGAGTCAGCGACAACTTACTGATTAAAGTTTAAAAGTCAAATATTGTTCAGTGTTTTTTTGGCCAGCCAATATGTTCGTGTTTGTTTTGGCAATTCATGTAAAGTTGGAGCTTTTTTTGGCCGAATTCTCAATGCATTTTATAAATCTGATTATAATTATAATTCATTCTCTTTTTTCTTTCTTGTCTTTTCATTTCTAACTTTAAAAAGAAAACCAAATCTCCTAACTTTAGATGTTGTTGAAATTTCAAAGTCTGTTTTATTTGTTTCCTGTTTTTGTGTTCTCCTCTGCTTGATGGTAGGATCTGTAGTTAACAAGAGAGGACTTTTACATTTCCCAACATCTGATCTCTGTGAAAACAAAAGTATCAAGCTTCGAGCTTGATGCTTCTCTCCTTGTTAGCCTGTTATAAGTGCTACTTGGAAGACTTGAGGTAAATCAGACAAATGGGTTCTAACTACTATCTCTTCTTCTGTCTTTTTTTTTTTAAAATCTGTTTGCTTATATTAGTGTTTGATATCATTTGTCTTACAAAAGATGGAGCAGTGCCAAGAGAGGAAGTTTGTGTGTAGGTTCTGCAGCAAGAGGTTCCCTTGTGGGAAATCACTTGGAGGTCACATCAGAACACACATGAACAATGAGAACTCAGCTGATTCAGATGAAGATGAACTCAGTAAGCTCAGAGTTTATGAAAATGGAGGTCACTATAGCTATGGTCTGAGAGAGAATCCTAAAAAGAACAAGAGGTTTGTGGTTCAAAGAGACATGATGGCTTTCAAACATCAGCAACAGCAACTTCTTTGTTGCAGAGAATGTGGTAAAGGTTTCCCTTCTTCTAAAGCACTTTGTGGTCACATGGCCTGTCATTCTGAGAGAGAGAAGATTGTGATGGATAGTCAATCTGAGACTGAAGCTTCTTCCTCACCTATTAGGAGAAGATCCAAGAAAGTTGTGAAACATCACCACGAGTCTGATGCTTTTGTAGTTGGTGGTAGCATCATGAATCATCAATACGGTTCAGCATCTTTTGATGATTTTAAGGTTGAGCCGGAACAAGAGGAAATGGCATTGTCTCTGATGATGATGTCTAGAGATTCAAGTTTCAAGAAAGGACATAACATGGTTGTGAACTCTGTAGCTGAGTCATCAGACAACTACTCTGTGATTCTCGAGACTAAGTCATCTTCAGGAGAACAGCTGAAGAAAGTTGAGGAGTTCTGCAAGAAAGACAAACATGGAGGAGGACTGGATGATGGTGATGTTCTGTATGAATCAGACAATTCTGATTCTGGCTATTTCAGGAATGGCCCAAAGAAGTTGGACTCAGATGTTTCTGTTGATGCTGGATTCAATAACAAGACTGCAATGAGATTCAACAGCTCTGCAACAAAACAAGACAAGAACAGATTCATGAAGGAGTGGTCAGGATCTAAAGCAGTTTGTTCTCCTACAAAGTATGATTTGAGGAAAAGCAAAAGAAGCTTCACTTGTTACGGTAGAAAGAAAATCAAGTATGAGTTCACTGAATCAATTTATGACAGTGGTGATCAGCATAGCTTGGAGACTGAGTCTTGTGCAGACACAATCAAGATTTATACTAAACCCACAATGGTTAAGAAACCAAGTGGTGGTGGAAAGAAGAGAAGCAAAGGTCATGAGTGTCCTATTTGCTTCAGGGTGTTTAAATCAGGACAAGCTTTAGGTGGTCACAAGAGATCACATTTCCTTGGGAATCATGAACACAGGACTTTAGTGATTCAACAACACCAAGTGGCTCATGAGATGCATACACTAATTGATCTCAATCTTCCTGCTCCTATTGATTAATGAATCAGTAGTAAACCAAGATACATAATTTTGTTCTCATTATTGTTGTTTCCTCTCTGTTCTTGATTTTTTGTGTTGCTTCAGATTCAAGAATACTTTTGGTTTGGAAAGTATATCTAACTTTTATTTTTATTTGTTCATAATCATATCAAGCTATTGTCAAGAAAAAGCTATCAGTATTCAATAGTCCCTTGTTAAATTTTTTTTTTATATAAAACAGACTAAATTTGGTTATTAGTTAAGAGTATAATAGGATTATACTTAAACCAAAATTATAGTAGGAAAAATGATTGGTAGAAAAGGTATATTGCACCTTGGCATCAAACAGTTACAAAAGGAAACAGATGTATCTATTTTATAACCAACCTAGTGAAATCTATAACATTAATGTATTGTAATACTAATTGTACTCTTTGTAATGTTTCAAGGTTTGTGAAGTTCTGATTGTTTCATGAAACTATCATGTTAAGATTCTCAGGGACTAAGGGCTGTGGCATGTAGTCTTCTTCCTTAGTTGGATGTAAACTCAGGGTCATGGCTTCAAAGTCTATAACTTCAACTGATCTACCTTAACTTTGTATAAAGAAACAAAATGGCATCAAGGTAGCCCATTCACCAAATAGTATTAAGAAAATGGGCCGTATATTGTCAGGTCCATTTAGCCCATTTTCCAATGTTAATCACAGAAATCTCCTTCCAAGTTCCAAGATGTTGGTCCAAGTGTTTCGAATTTTGTGAAAATGATTATCCTCATAATTGAATATGGAGTATGGAGCTCTAGTGTTCTAATCAAAATATGCATCTTAAACAATAACCGAACTTCTTTTTAGGGTACCATTTGAATGTTTGATACGAGTGGAAGAAACGGTGATGTTGCAAAAAGCATTGTAATACTCTCATCAAAGAAGTAACCTACTATCACTCATCTCAAGATAGAATTGCAACTTAAGAAAGATTAAACAATGAACCGAATAATAATAACTCCTGACTTTTGGTTAACTCAAAGATTAAGCCTTTGAGCAAAGATTTGTTTACAACAAACACAAGAAATGATTTGTATAATAAAAAGTCCAACTTACGTTACATCTGGCCTTTAAAATCTAGAGAAGTCTCATTTTATTTATCTTTTTATAAAAAAAAATATTAAAAAAGAAAAAAGAGAGAATTTGTGCTAGCGATCAGACACCGCAAACAAGTGTAGGGCCGCGTGGTTTGCACGCCGTGATGCAACAAAGAAGATAAATCTAATCAAATCTCAACCCTTGAGATATTCCCCATCGTACGGCTCACAAAAGATAATAATACAGTAACCCTAGCCCTTCTTCCTTGGTATAAAAATTGACATCACTCTCTATCTTTGGTTCATTCTCCAATCTCAATCTCTAATCATGTCTGACGAAGAGCACCACTTCGAGTCCAGCGACGCCGGAGCTTCCAAGACCTATCCTCAGCAGGCTGGTAACATCCGTAAAGGTGGTCACATCGTCATCAAGGGCCGTCCCTGCAAGGTTATCTTCTCTATTTGCTTATTCGATCTTGTAATAATTATTCTAGATCTTTGTGTTGTGTATAGCTCCTTCGATTTTGATTGAGTTTTTTCTTTTTTTTGTTAGATTAGATTAGTTTTGATTTAATTATTGTATCTTGTTCTGTGATGGTTATGTGTGAAATGAAACTAAACATAGTTGGAGATCAGACAATAAGGAATCTAGTTTTGTGTTTTGATGTAAATATTGTTAGGGATAACAAAGTGTTATGATTTTTTATATTAATTTTGTCTTTTTTGTGGGATGATTGATTAATAGGTTGTTGAGGTTTCGACATCGAAGACAGGCAAGCACGGTCACGCGAAGTGTCATTTCGTTGCTATTGATATCTTCACTGCTAAGAAGCTTGAGGATATTGTTCCCTCTTCCCACAATTGTGATGTAAGTATTATATAAAAGACCAAACTTTACTAGTTTTGGTTTATTTGACATGATCTGATTTAAGATTGTTTTTGTTTTTTTTTTTGGTCAGGTTCCACATGTGAACCGTATTGATTACCAGTTGATTGATATCTCTGAGGATGGCTTTGTACGCTACTTTTCTCATTACTTAGGCTTTCTTTATTTTCCTGGACATGTTTGAAGTTATTAAGTCTTTTGGTCTCTTTACAGGTTAGCCTTTTGACCGACAGTGGTGGCACTAAGGACGACCTCAAGCTTCCCACCGATGATAATCTCAGCGCTCTGGTTAGTTTCTTGTCTTTTCCATACATTTTATGACTTGTTTACATCCTTGAGATTGTGATATTGAAACAGACAATTTGTTGAAAATTGCAGATGAAGAGTGGATTCGAGGAGGGAAAGGATGTGGTGGTGTCTGTGATGTCTTCAATGGGAGAGGAGCAGATCTGTGCCGTCAAGGAAGTTGGTGGTGGCAAGTAAAACCAAATATCATTCTCTTTTCACAGCGGATGATATTACTACCCAATGTTATAAGAACCAAAAAAAAAAACATGTTTTTTTTCCCTTTTTTCTAATTTAGACCATTTGTGTGTGTTTCTTGTTGCAAGACAACCATATCTATTGGTTTTGGATTGTTTGAAACGTTTGGTGTTTTAAAACAGGAAAAGTTATCCTACCCTTTGCTTTAGTATTATTATTCAAGAATATTACGTTTAAGCAAACCTCGTTAACCATTCAAACGATATTTGTAAATTATTCGAAACAATGCCTTAACCATGTCACAGAGATGATGCGTTTGAACTTTGAGAATCTGATGATAGTACCGAGCCAATCTTCGGATACACTCTCGTTGTCCATCGAGGGCGCTCTGTGAAGGAGTAGTTGCAGCATGTTTAGGAGAGAGACAAAACATAGTGGAGGTTTCAAGCTCAATCTTTATCTAAGAGAATTGAGTTGAAAGGCAAAAACATGGCTCTTATCTAACATAACAGTGTACAATGTACATCGTTCAAAGTTCAGTAAATTTACTTGCACTTTCTCGTGGCCCGGAACTGTTAAGATATTTGACATCTTTAGAGCTGATAAAGATGATAATCCAATAAGTATGTGTGGGTCAATTCATTGCTGCCATTCTTTTCCGACAGGCGACAAAAGTAGCAGGTTTTCTTGTTTGCTCTCTTGGGTAGAATGTCAAGACAGCAAATAATTGTGGTTGACTCAAGAGTTTAGCTATAGTTTAACGCACTGGTTCCAAATGAATCTCTTGTTCTTAAACTTCTCAAAAGGGGAGAACTATTGTGCGTGCCTAAGCATATCACATTTTCCAAGTTATTCTTTATGTTGACAGAAACTGCAAAAATGGCAATCATTTTCACATTCATTTAGTTTCCAGTTTCAAGAGAACACATGCTCAAGCCCCAAAGATCTAAACGTACAAAACACACCCACGGAACAAAAAAATTCATCGAGATGATTAAAGAAAGAGTGGAATTATTCCATCTAAAATCATCTTAGATGACTTTCTTCTTCTCAAAAAACGTCTTCAAATGCATAAACTGCATCCCAGCAACTCCTAAGCACACAAAAAGAGACACCAAACCAAACCACGCCATCTTCGAGTTTGTAGCCCTGTTCAAATCCTGCATCTCTTCCTCCCTAAGACAAAACAACACTCGTCACACAAAGTCCACATTCAAAAACATTGCAACAATTATAAAAAGAAATTTTCAGTTGTCCAAAAAAAAAAAAAAAATAGAAAGAAATTTTTATTACCTGTCTCTAAGATAAAACATCTCATCATGAATCGCGTTGACAGTTTCAATCAAAGCCTTTACTTCAAACTCCATCACCTTGGTTACAAACACAACACACAAGACATCAAGAGTTATTACTAATGTTCTAAAAATCGCTAGGTGGTGATTAGGCGTTTTATGCATGATTATTGGTTAGGAGGACGCCTAGACCGATTTTTTGAATGCTTAGTCAACTAGGCGGGGCGCGTAGACCAATATTTAGACCAATTATTACAAAACAAACAATTTAGAAAAAGAAAAAAAAAAAACTCACTTCGACTTTGCTCTTCTTAGCCAAACTACCCAAACTCTTGTAATGAACACCCGTCCCCCACTCCAAACCAATACTCAACGTCACGTCAGGTTTATGATCACTAACAGCGAAACACGCCGTGTAATCTCCACCTTCCACAGCCGTGAACGAGAATTGTCCCGAGTCCACCTCCTCCGCGTGATGATACGTGTTCCCATGACTCGACGTCACCTTTAAAATGGACAGAATCACAATCAAAAAGTTTACGAATTCTGGAAAAAAAAAAAAAGGAAACGAAATTACGAGTTAATTACCCTTATGTTGATTTTGTGAGATTGTGGAATAGGGTGAGGCTCATTGGGGTTAACGACGGTGTATTTTCCGACCGTCATTGCGTTGCTTTTGATGTCTTCCGACACGCATTTTGATTGGCCTGATTTCAAATCGAAGTGGAGAGACAGAGAAACGTGAGAGAGGGTGGTTATGGTTATGGTTATGATGAAGAGGAATGTGCGTAGTTTTTTTGATCGGAGAACCATGGTGAGAAGTTTTTAAAGGAGAGATGTTTCTCTTTTTTTGCTGACTCCTCGGTCGTTACGTTCGTTTGGAGAGATGAACGATGACGACGGAGGAGGAGGAAGGGTGACACGTGTTTGTGTCTAATTGGTGAGGATATAACGTCCGAAGATGATTTCGTGTAGAGTCTTGTCTTTATAAAGGTTTGCTTTTGATTTTGTTTTATTTTTAGGCAAATGAAACTTTCTATTTTTTGAATTGGATAATAATAGGCCCATTAAGACAACAAATTGTTTCTCTCAAAACTTGTATCTAAAATTAAGATTTTGGTATTGATGAAAACTCTCTCCATTTTATTTTAGTTATCATTGTGTAAGTTTATACACAAAAATTAAAAAAATATTTAATTTCAAGTATTTTCGAAATAAATTCATCATTACTTATTCACTTAATCATTTTTAACTAGTAAAAAACAGAATGACATATAAAGTTAATAGATTTATCTTTAAACTATGAAATAACATTTATTTTGAAACAAAAAATTTACCTTATAACAAAAAATAAATTGAAACTGAGATAGTAATATTTTAGCCGAACTAACCACTTTTCATCGTATGTTTTTAGCGTAGCTCAATTTCGAGCCTAAAAAGATGCAAGGCCTTTAGAGCACCCTCATATGTGAATTTAGGGATGGGGGTTCACAACTATTATTTTTTTTTATTTTTTTTTTTACTTTTTTTCTTTACCTTTTTAAAAAAAAATAATAAACAAAATATACCAATCCCGAGTCGCCACGTGTCGTGGAACCCACGGAACAGTGATGATACAAGTTCATCATAGTGAACTCCAACGAAACAGGTTCATAAGTTTAGCTTTATTATATTGGTTTTTTTGGGAAGTGTGAGAACACCTCTTATAAACCCTTAATGAGAGTGCTCTTAATACTTCTCCATACTGTTTGGGTCTAGTTGTATTCGAGCTCTGCGCCATCTTTTCGTGGGGAACACCAAACACATGAGTTGTCGTTGGAGTTATTACAATACGTACCTTTGATCTTATCTTCATTGGATGGTGGCCACAGTAGAGCCTTTCAATGGAGAAGGAATTATGATGATAGGAAATGAGAATGTGATGGAAATGGTGGTACCCCCTTACTCATATATGGACATGGTTAGGTTTATATAATGTTCATGGTTTAATGGTATATAGGTTTTAGTTTTAATATGTTTAGATATATTATTAAAACAATTATTAATATTCAGTTTAAATATCTGTTTGTAAATTCAAGTGTTATTCAACCATTAGAGACTTTACACAAAGAAAAAAAACTTAAATACACACACATTAAAACTATCTACACATTTTTTTTTTGAAAAAAGAACATCCTACACATTAAACTTATTCAACTGTGACAACGTAACGAACGTTGGCGATTATACTTGGAAGCTTCGTTTTTTATGAGAAATAACAAAATAATATTGACGGTACGTGGTAGTCAGCCATGTACGCTGCATTTACATAACCCCATCTAAATATCTAATTATTATCTTTTCCTAAAAAGAAGAGTCAAAGATTAGGATCAAAAATCAAATAGATCGTACTCACACAGATGCTGTTCTTTAGCTGTAATTTAATAAATACATGAGAACAACATTGAACTATTCAATTCCATGTTTTATTCTTAGAATAAGTAGCAGCCAACAAAAAAATATGGATACCCATTAAATTTGCCTTGTCTAACAAATCGATTCAACTCTATATGGATATTCCGTACGTGGCTTCGTAAATGGCATGAGTAAAAAAAAAAAGTAAATGGCCCAGAAGTATTTACGAAGAGAAAATCCGGCACAAATATTCCGTTTATATATAAAGGTAAAACTAACTTGTATAGTGTTTTCTATTTTAAGTTTTTAACTAAAATTTTCGATAATGGTGTTGTAGTAAACTCTTAATATATGGTGAAGTAAATCAGTTTGATTTCTAGGTACATGTTAGTATGTTTTAATTAGTAAAACCGTTATAACAATAAGCAATTGTTGACTAAATTCGAATTTAAATAATTAACTTTCTTTACTTATTTGAATCCGCTAAACAAAAACATTAACGAGCTAACTTTTACCAACGGACTAAAACTGTTCCCCAAAGTCCAATCGCTTGATTGGGGTCTATTAGAGCATTCACAGCAGTGATTATCTACAAGAATACCTCACCAAAAGAATTAATATAATACAAAAAAGAAAAAAGAGGAAGTGAAAGTGAAAAAAACGAAGAAACGTATGTCGGGAAAAATCATTCTCCCCTTTTGTAAAGAGATTTTTTACAGGAAAATTGCAGTGTATATACACCAATAATATGAAAATTAGGGATATACCCTAACCACTATTCTATTTTTTTTAATCCCATTACTACCCCTAGTCTATTCTCTCTCCTCTCTTTTTTCTCTCACGTT